GTCCTGTGTAAGACATACTGACAAACAGTTTTGGGAAAGTTACTTTTAAAAGTAACTTTCCCAACACTGTTTGCCAGTATGTCTTACACAGGACCTCTGAACTATATAAAGTATAATGTAATATCACTATCAAAGTGCAATATTTTTGATTGCACACTTTTTCTTGTATTACAGCTGAAACAAACTTCTGTTAAACTTTCTTCTGTCCATTTTGCCATATAATCTGTTTGTTTGTGTCATATAATTGATTGATTTCAATGTTTAGCATATTTCCTGTCAATCCTTAGTTTAAAAATTGTTGTCATATGACTTGTTTTATGTTTTTTTTTCTGTTATTGGTGAAATCCTCTTTCGAGAATAATTCAAAGTCAATATATTTTACTTACCTAACAGTTTTATTTGCCTTATTGAACTTGTTCAGCAGTTTTATTTCAGATTTGACAATTCAGTATTAAATTTAAAAGAAAATCAGAGGCTGGAATGATGACAAATCACAAGATGATATGAACAAATGGGAATACAGCAAAAAAAGACAACTAAATCATCGAGAAATAGGAGGAAATGATGGGTGAAAGGGAGGTCAGGGGTGTCACAGCGATCATAAAGTCTTGGGTCATATCTTAGAATGACAAGAAGGCTCATGTTGGCTTTATTAAAGCATCTAAGACAAGACGAGCAATAATGAAAGCATACAAGAACAATTATGTTATTTTAGAAAGCCAATACAAATATTGTTCACAATGAAGGATCTCCTATCAGGAGAGCAGATTAGTAGAGATATAAAGCCTCTCACAGGCATTAATGACAAACAAATGCATAAAACAATGATCATATCCACTCGCTCAGTTGTGTCTCATTTCTTTCGTTCTCAGGCAAAGTAGCAAGACCGCACAGATGAGACTCATCTTGCTGCTTCCAAAACTAACAAACACCACAATATGTTTGTCACGTGTATGATAACAGTGAAATAAATCAATGTGTTTTATGAAAAGGAATGAACAACAGACATACAACCTCTCTAACTGAGTCACCTATCACCTCATGCTGTAAACATAATTGCTTTTCTGAGATAAGATTATGCTTTTTTGTAAATTGCTTGTTAGAATCTCTTTTCTATCCAGCTGGAAAACACAACTGGGATTGTTCTGCTCTAATAACATTCCATGCAAGTCTGTGACAATTTAAATGTTTTTGTTACGAATTTACCATTGCCAGATCAGCCCTGTAAGAAGCAGCTTTTATTGAATTTGAAGGCCACTAATAAATCAGTTTGATAACTGCTTTCCATAGCCATACTTATCATAATATAGTTTCTTCTGACAAGTCATGTGTCAACCTGTGGCACTCTTAACCTCGTTTGTGCGTCTCAGGTATGACTAGCGCTATTACTGTTGATGTTGCCTCCCTGTCCCCGCCCATGTTCGCTCGTCGTTCCGCATCACCAGCGCGCAGAGTACAAGGTAGAAAACAACGCTGGCCCTTTAAGACGGGAGTGATCGCTCCGCTGGCGACCGCTCCGCGGTATTATTGAGCTCCAAGACTACCAACACACATGAGCTAGATGGAATTATAACAATGGAATATCATTGCGTTCTGTTTACTGTTCTGTTGCAGTTAATCGTCCAACCAGGTAGGGTGACTATTATCATCGGTCCTTTTATGGTATCACTTTGCTTAGAGGAAAGAAAGTTGTTCATTAAGGAGTAGGGATGTACTGCACTTGCTCTATTGATGACAGGCAGTTGGGCTGTTTAATTATTCTTTATTAGGCTACTCAAAACCAGACTGATTGCCTTCAGAGAATAATGTAGCCTATGTAGGCTACCTGTTGCTTCTTACTTTGAACTAATCTAGATTCATGTAGGCTCTTTATAGAAGCACGATTTTGTCTGTTAACACTGGACTGCCACATAATGAAGCTCTCCATAAGGAGCTTTCACACCTCGGTGCGCGTTCTGTCAGTTCAGAACTCCACGAGTTCTGCAGTACAACTGAAAATTAAGCATCCTAATGCACCAACATTTCCACTGATAATCCCAGTGAATCATATCCTCTTCACTTACCTTGCGGAGACTCACACCAGCAATTTAAGCGGTTACGGGAACCGATCATTGAAACAAGATATCGATCCGGAGAGCTGCAGGTGAGAATGTAAGGTAAAGCCGAACCTCGCGCGTTGTACTCAATTATTTATCACTCGGGCTCGCGCGTGCTTGTCTCGGCAACAAGTGTAGGAATACGAAGCCTGTTTTTTTTAGCTATAATTAGTGAGAGACGTGAAGGAAAGAGTGTGAAAGAGTGTGGAAAACACACGTTGATTAACTTTATAGGCTACTGTTCGGATATAATGGGGAGACGGGGTTGACTCCTCCGGCTTGAACCTCCTCCCAGAATGTTTCGAAACAATTTTTGCGGGTCTTACAGAATATATTCAACAGATTTAGCTACGCATATTGCTGCTAAAGCAACTTGTTTTAGTATCCAGAAAAGTGTCACATTTTCAGCCGCAGCGCGTTTATTGAGGAGGTAGCCATAGCAACTGTGCAGCTCGAGTATTTTTCTTTAGAATCAGTAACATAAGTAAAACAAGTGCTATGTAATTTTTACGCTTGATTAAGGACGTCACGCATATATTAGCTACGAAAATGTTTTAGAAGTCTGTGGGTTTTGCGCGCTAAGCAAATTGAGCTCCATGGAACAATCTATAACATTTCTCAGATATATGGGGGTATTGAACTGGTCTGTAAGGTTAAACTTTGTTGGAACAGGCAGTTTTTATTATTATTATTATTATTATTATTATTATCCTATCAGCATGGACAGTTAGGCTTTATGTAAACGATCGGCAATTCCATGTAATTTCCTAAAAGCCAGAGTAGTTGTTTTGCATGCTGCAACCTGACTTTTTTTTTTTTTTTTTTTGACGTAGCCTATCAGATGGTCTTTTTGTAGTGCTCAGATTATGGATGTTCTGAGAGATGCGGGGCGAGTCATTAGTTGGACTGCATCTGTTAACTGACCATTATCATGTGCTCAGATATTTATCCTTTTGTAACTCGTGCTTGGAAACAAAGATATCACTTGTCTTACAGTTTCATTTGCTAAAATAAAGATGTTTATTATGTGGTAAATTTAAGTTTCCCAAAAGGATCATAGCTTTCCTTTTTGGGGAAAAATCTGTTGTCTTCCATCATTTAAATTCCAAGCTTGTCATTGTGTTTGGGGAATATGGGGTTAGCCTGAAGAAACGTGATAACCCAGGTCTTTTGAGGGTTCCTTCTAACACATAACGCTTCGGGCTTTCAAATAACAGCCGTGAGAAATTCGTTTACATAGTTAATATTAGAGAGCTCTGATATGCACAGTTAGAATGATCGTAATTATGCACATAAGTCAGTTTTCTGGTTGGTTTATGGCAGTGGTTCTCAAACCTCCCCATGAAGTTCAAGTACCCCCAGCACTGCACATTTTATGTCTCCCTTATCTAACACACCTGATTCAACTCACCAGCTCATTAGTGGGGACTGACTGCAAGACCTGAAGTGGGTGTGTCAGATATAGGGAGACATACAAAATGTGCAGTGCTGGGCAGAGGCGAACCAAGATGAAGTGGGGGCCCCAGGCAAAATTAATAGATGAGGCCCTTCTAAAATATTATTTTGTTAATATATCTTCGTTACATATATATTTATACAACATACAAAAAGTAGTTAAAACACATATAATAGAACATACATTGTTTATTTTTTTAAACAAAGTGCTTATTCTTTAACAAAATATCAATATTCATCTTTATGGCAGAAGATACAACTGACAGCCTCTCTTGGATCATGTTGACCTGAGGTATGTTTTTATCAGCTTTACTAGTTTTATTAGTTGACAACTAATTATGTTAACTCAACTAATTTAATGTAGAAGAGCTAAAAAATAATGTCAACTAAGTAAATGTAATATTTATTTATATTGATTTGTGGGCTCCCACTGGCAGCAAGACACAGTTCGCGGGGATGCAAACTAATCATAGTTAACTACAAATTAAGTTAATTATTAATGGTATAATAATTAAATAATGCATTAAATATTTTGCCATTTTTTAGATTTAATTAAAAAATTAAATTTTCAAACATTGCCTAAAAAGGACACCTCAAAATGAGTGCTTTAAGTTATCTTTACCTGTAGAAGCTGCTAAAGGCAACACAGACTTGTTGCTGCTGTAGTTTTGTTACTCTGAATTTACTCTGCATCACTTGAAGCACAGCTCTGTTTTGACATTGGTTTGTCAGATAGTTTGTTCCGTCCATTGCTACAGTTCACCGTCAATCGCGGATCAATCTGGCGGATTCACTCGCGTATTTTTTTTATACTCGCGTTTGTCATTCCTGAAACAGTATACGTGGACGGTCCTCTTAACTTTTCTTCAAACTGTGAATGTAGTTTGTAAGAGACACCGAGCAAAGGGCGCTTCCATTATGGCGCAACTGTCCGAGCTTACTCACGCGAAAACTCCTGATATAATCAATAACTAGCCTAACTACACAATGAATATCTTATTTACATCGTGTATGCTTTCTTTTTGTCTTGTTATAATAGGAAGATCTGTGAGCGTGTAGAACTTCATAAACTTGCAAAAACAAAAATTAGATCAGAGCGGATTATGACTAACCCACAGTAAACGCCTCTGATTGGCCACTGCTCTCAACAGAGATGCCTGTGATTGGCTACAAAACTCAACTCTGCAAAACACATTGTAAATAGAAACTTTTGGTTTTGTAATTCGAAACCAGAGCGCGCACACAAAAACATACAGATCGTTTGAAAGCGGGTGACTTCGAGCGGGTACAGAATTGAGTTGGTACAATTTTAAAAACTCAGTGGATCTACACGAATCACACAAATGACCCATGTTATATTAATAATGACATTTTCGATTGTTCAAATGGTCAGCTGTCGGGGGCCCCCTCAAAATGTGGGGCCCCAGGCAATTGCCTGCCTTGCCTGCCCTATTGCTACACCTCTGGTGCTGGGGGTACTTCATGGAGAGGTTTGAGAACCACTGGTTTATGGCTACTGCTGTCTTCGGGCGTATACCCCTAGTGGCTAACGGTGGTATCACAAGTTATATATATATATACATTTACATTTACATTTAGTCATTTAGCAGACGCTTTTATCCAAAGCGACTTACAAATGAGGACAATAAAAGCAGTCAAAACTAACAAAAGAGCAACAATATATAAGTGCCCAAACATTTTAACAGTGACATAAATGTTGTGTTTTGCAAAGTTTGCTGCTTAAAGGGGTCATATGACGTTGCTAAAAAGAACATTATGTTGTGTATTTGGTGTAATGCAATGTGTTTATGCGGTTTAAGTTTAAAAAAACACATTATTTTCCACATACTGTACATTATTGTTTCTCTATGCCCCGCCTTTCTGAAACGCGTCGATTTTTACAAAGCTCATCAGTCTGAAAAAGCGAGGTGTGCTCTGATTGGCCAGCTATCCAGTGCATTGTGATTGGCCGAATACCTCAAGCGTGAGACGGAAATGTTACGCCCCTCACCATACTGTGATG